TTGTCTTCTTACCCCACTTTGTCCTTTCCTCCTCTCCGATATCCTTTATAGCCTCAGGTGATTTATAATCACCTCAAACTGCATTTTTTACACTGTGAAAGTAAAAATGTAGCCTGGTTACTATCTTCCTTCAGGAAAATTTCTTCAATTTAAGAGCATTTTATGACATAATCCCAGCAATTTATAAGTAAACACTCTCTCTTTTAGCAGCAGGGACTGCATCCTCTTGCTAAGAAAATCAGATTTTTTTTCTGTTAGAAACACAAACAAGGTACATACCTTTTTACACAAAAATTAAGTAGCAGAAATTATGTAATTGTGTTAGTCTTTCATGAGACTATCAGGGAGGACTTCACAGAGGAGGTAGCAATTGAATTGAAATGTAACAGCTCAGTGACTAAACAGAGCCAAAAGGCCATGGGAGTGTCCTGCAGGCAGAACTTCAAGGCCTCTATGTTTCTTTCTCAGGTGCCAGAAAATGACCTAGCCACTGTCCCCCTCCTTTCTTTCTTCCTCTGTGCCACTTTCGACCCCAATACCATGCTGCTTCTACTCTCATCACTCAGCTAGGTGATCATGTTCATTCCCCAACAAGCAGGCGACTCATGGACTCATAACCCAGATGTTGAAAGATCAGAGAGTAGCAAAGCCACAGAGGACTTGTGAGATTAAAGAAAATCTCTGTCTTCCATGGGCATCAGGGATTTATGCAGGAACATTTAACGATATCACAGGAAATATTGCCAACAGATCTAAATAACAAAAAATATATATTAAAATACTAGTAGCATACCCTTTATGTAAACTATTTTAACTTTTTTCTAGCTACCATGGTGAATGAAATGCATACTCGAAACACTAAATGCCATGGTAATGTTTATGAGTTTTTTTTTCATTTCGAAAATAATTTAAAAATTATTATAAATACCTTCCGTGATACCACTATGTGTTCCCTTTTTAATTTGACAATTCCATCGTTGGGAATTTGAATTTCTAAAAAAGAAGCAACCAGAGGATAATTATTCATCTTTTCAAGAATTCACTAAATAATTTCATTAAATTATAAGCTCCCCTAGGAATTTAGAACATTTATATTTACTTAAAACATTTTAAGGGAATAAAGGTTATCAAAAATGTGATGCTGCTTTTTAATCTTACAATTTCCAGACAATATATAAGTATCAGTCTACATGATGTGCACAAGATAATCCAACTCCTCAATGAGATTTTTGTCTTCATCCACCAGAGCTGAAATTAGTCTTTCTTCTTCCTGTGCGTTCAGTGAACTTTTTACCTCTTCCAATGTTCATCCTTTTTGACTTTGCATCTTTGTTTGTTGTCTATAGCCTGCTACTCAGCTAGTTTTCTGGGGTCTAAGCCATGTCGAGTTTATTTTTTCCTTCATCTATCATCCATGCAGAATCGATAAAACATGGTAAATTTATAATAAATGCTTACTAACATGAACATGGGAGTGAAAAAGTACATATTGGAATTTAGACATAGAAACAGAAGGAGATTAGATAAGAAATATATATATATATACCTCACAGGTGCTGTTAGCAGTTATTTTGTAAATGACTTAAACTAGGTCTTTATTCTTTGGAACTGGTATTACAGCCAATGCGCATATATGTATGTCAAATGTTTCTGCTTTACTTAGGATGAAGAAAATCACAGGTGTAACTGTCAACATACCATTTTATCCAGAATAACATTTTATGTCATCCAAATGAAAGGGGGAAAGTGTTTTTTTGAGTGAAGAATTCAATTCAAACTGTCAGAGCAGGTTGAGGTGGAAGATGCACCCCACAGCTTACAGAGGACCATTGGGACACACAGAGAGCAGGGAGGAGAGAGAACAGGCAACCGGATGAATGGACTGGACACACACTCAAAAGGCACAGAGTGGAAAGTTGGAAAAAGAAAATATTCTTCTGTTGTCTTTAGGAAAGCTGTCTCACTGCAAATGACATCCAAAGGCTCAAGGTAAAGGGTTAGAGAAAGATTTTCCAGGCAAATGAAAAATGAAAAAGAACAGGAGTAGTTACTCTTATATCAGACGAAGCAGACATTAATCATTAAAAGCTCAAAGGGACAAAGAAGGACACCACAGAATGATAAAAGGCTCAGTTCATCAGCAAGAAATATCCATCTTGAAAATAGATGCACCTAGATTTATAAAACAATTGCTGATTAAACCAAGAGAGGACATAGACAGCATTACATGCAATTATAGCCAGAGGCTTTAATCCCCACTAACAGCCTTAGAAAAATCATCAAGGCAAAACACTAACAAGGAAGTCTGGAACCTGAATTTGACACTCAACCAATTCAACCTAACAGACATCTACAGAACACTTAACCCAACAACCTCAGAATACACATTCTTCTAATCAGTTCATGGAAAGTACTCCAAGATAAACCTCATACCTGGGCATAAATCAAACAAATTTCAAAAGGTTGAAATCATACCAAGCATCTTCTCAGGCCACAGTGGAATACAAATAAATATCATCATTAAGAGGAACCCCTCAAAACACACAGATACATGGAAATTAAACAAGATGCTTTTGAATGACTTCAGGGTTAACAAAAAAATCAAGAAAGAAATAAAAAGATTTCTGACAACAAATGAAAACAAAAACACAAAACACCAAAACCTCTAGAATACAAAGAAAATGGTGCTGAGAAGGAAGTTTATAACATTGCATGCAGATATCAAGAAAATAGAATTCAAATGAATAGCCTAATGTCATCCCTAATAGGGCTGAAAAGTCAAGAGTAATCCAAACCAAGAATTAGTAGAAAAATTGAATTTATTAACATAAACTCACAGTTGAATGAAGCAGAGACCAAAATCTCATAGAAAGTGTCAATGAGACAAAAAGTTGGTTCTTTGAAAGGATAAATAAGATTGACAGACCCCTGGCCAGATTGACAAAAAACAAAAGAGAGAAAGTTCAAATAAAAACAATTAGAAATGAAAAAGGCAATGTCACAACCGTTCCTGAAGAAATTAAAAAGATTATCAGAGATTACTATGAACATCTCTATGCAAATAAACTAGAAAATCCAGAGGAAATAAGGGAATTCCTGGCAATACATAACCTCCAAGATTGAAAAAGGAAAAAATTAAAACCCAAAACAGACAAATAGCAATCCAAGAAATCAACTCAGTAATCAGAAACCTCCTTGCCAATAAAAAAGCCCTGGTCCAGATGGTTTCTCATTTGAGTTTTTCAAGACATACAAGGAAGAGCTGATACAAATTCTGTTGAAAGTATTCCAAGCAGTTGAGAAGGAAAGAATTCTCTCTAGCTCATTCTATGAAGCCAATGTCAACCTGATACCCCAAAATGGCAAAGACCCAACAAGGAAATAAAACCACAGGACAACTTCCCTAATGAACACAGTGCAAAAATTCTCAACAAGATTCTAGCAAATTGCATTCAACAACACCTTTCAAGGATCATCCATTACGACCAGGTGGGTTTCATTCCTGGGATGCAAGGTTGGTACAACAAAGACAAATCAATGTGTGATCCATCACATAAGCAGGTATAAATCCAAGAACCACATTTTTTTTTGTAGAAAAAGCAAAAAGAAATTTTTTTAAAAAAAATTGTATCTGTATTAACAACAACAAAAAGAATTCAATTCAGAAGTTATTAACATTCAGGTGTGTGTGTGTGTGTGTGTGTGTGTGTGTGTGTCGAACAATACCAGGTACAGATAATAATGCCAAATAAATTTAAAGTGTAGACTCCCAAATCAAGCAAGTCACACTCTTAATAATTAATGTATCAAGCAAATATTTTTAAGCCAAATTTTCTTAATGAGAATCTGACCAATTTATGCTTTTTCAAATACTATTTCCAAATTGCAATTTTCTGACACCTGTACCAACAAATGATATTATCAATCACTTTAAATATTTTTTTTCAGTATGAAAAATGAAAAATTGCCGGGCTCGGTGGCTCAGCCTGTAATCCCGTGCCTTTGGGAGGCTGAGGTGAGTGGATTGCCTGAGCCCGTGGGTTCAAGACCCGCCTGGACAGCGAGACCTCATCTCTACAACAAAATCAAAAAGTCAGCCAGGCGTGGTAGTGCGTGCCTGTAATTCCGGCTACTCGGAAGGCTGAGGCGGAAGGATCGCCGGAGCCCAGCAGGTCGAGGCTGCGGTGGCCGGGAGTGGCCACTGCACTCCAGTTTGGGCGACAGTGAGACTCCAACTCAAAAAAAAAAAGAAAAAAGAAAAATTGTTTCTGTTTTAATATGCTTTATTCTAGCTACTAGTGAGGGTGAGCATCTTCTAAGTGATTATTGACCACTCCTATTTCATCTAATGTGGAGTGTCTATTTATATCTTGGCTTCTTTCTGTTAAGCTTTTTAATCTTTAAAAGTGGATCTTTCAATCTTTTAAAACCTATTCCCTATTTTATTCCTTTATTATGTATATTGCAAATATTTATTCAGCCTTTTCACTTGTCTTTTAATTTGCTTTATAGAATATATTTTTATACAGATATTTTTATTTTAATGCAGGCTAATATATCTTTTTTTCTTAGAGTTTATATTTTGAGGGCTATTTAATAGTGCTTTCAATTCCACACCACAAAATTATGATAGTATTCTTTATTTCTAAATTTAACATAATATAGGATTTTAAAAATAAATGTTTAAGTCTTTAAAACTTATTTTTATTTTGTGAATATTTTAGGGTAGAGATTTTTTACATTTTTTTCTAGATAAAAGTCAGTCAAATGTCTGAGAACAATTTAATATCTTCAGTTTTTCTCTTAAAAATTTTTTTTTCAGAACAGTTATGGAGGAAATTATGAGATGGACCAATTTAAGAAGAAAGAAAAACTGTCATTGGTTGGAGGGGGAGGAGAGAATCTTTGGGATATGAAAACAAGACAATAGGGGGAGATTGACAAGACAGAGCAGCAGTAGGGTGTTACAGTTAGGTAAAGTTTGCTTGGTTCAATCTTGTCTACTCCCTAAAGGAGTTGGAGCACATTAGCCTTACAGTATTCAGTTGAGACCTAGAAGAAAGTTGATCCTTTGTTCTTGGTTTACAGAAGTGGGTGTCCGAGGTGATGTACAGCTCCGCTCCGATGTTGCAACAAGAGAAAAATCCTAAGCATTCTGGATCTGTGCACACATGAGGGTAGGTATTGTAGGGTGGCAAGTAACAAGAAACAGACCTCCTGCTCCCGTGGTCTGTGGTGAGCAGTGATGTTTGCAGTCTGCATGAGGGCCTCAGGCATTTGTCAGGGTGGGTGGTCAGGCTGCTTCTTTGCATGAGTCAGAAAGAACAGACCCAGCTGAATATGTTTAAAAAATTCATTCCATCTTATTTTTCTGTTGCAAGCAAGAATATTATCGATATTAGCTAATGTTTAATTGATATCTACTAGGGACGATTACTAAAATTCACAAATACTTATTTGGCTAAGATCTCTGAAGGACGGATGAGTAGATTAGAATAAAAAAATAAGCAAAATAAGACATACTCCATAAACGAAACTATAATAATTCCTATTCATTATGTGAATACTATTTACCTTTCCAACAACATGTAGAATGTCTGCTTTAGAGAATAAATTGTTACTAAGCCATAGTAGAAAATTTCTGTGGCTTTTTAAAAACTCCAAATAACAGAAGATTTCTATTTATGTATGTGATTTTTGATAAATTACTAAAATTTAGTGTCATTTCAATTTTCTGAATTGTTTAGCATTAAGTATAAGAACTTACTTAGGTATTTTAAATTTCATTTACTATATGACATAAAACTGTAGTTTGATATACTTAGAAATGTTACTTCATAGAATTACAACCTCAAAGAGGTTTTTCTTACAGATGTATCAAATCATCACCTTAAGCTCTGCACCTGGGTTGGCTCAAATCCAAAATCCCATCTAATTTAATGTAAGTTTATATTGTAGTCTTGTCAGGAACGGTCTTACATCATTATGTTGTCTTGGTTTGAGTTAGCAAGAACTATGAGGCCAATGTAGCATGAGTGACTTTTTATCCCTGCTGATGCTGATGTAAAAATCACTGTGTACTGGGGTCAAAGAGAAGTGTGTGGCTGAATCAAATGCAGGAAAAAAACACCTATAATGCAGTTGAGTATTTGCAAATTTCAAAAGAAAGAGAATTTTTTAATGTATCTTTTTCAGCCTTCTTGATATATAAATTGAGGTACTGAGGCAAACTAATGAGACAGGAGATAGCTAGAGAAAGGCTAGGCAGACAGGTGGGTCCTCTGGTAACAATGTAGCGAACTCCCAGGCCTCTCAGGATCAGCTTGGTAAACAAGCTCCCTGACAACCTCAAACTAGAGCTTAAGTACTCACTGCTGGGATTGAAAAGCAACCAAACAGCTCACCATAAGGCCCCTACCTCCTGGCGATTGGTCTTTAGCACTGACCAATCAGAACAGCTAAGTGCAGACCCATCAGCTCATAGCTAGTGCTAGCCAATTAGCTATATAAGTGCCAGATTTTGACTCCAGCAGCGGGCAACCCCTTTGGGTCCCCTCCCACTGTGGGAGCTTTTCTGTCCTCAATAAATCCTGCTTTCTCACTTTCTGACTGTCCCTGTCCCTCATTCTTCCTGGACATGAGATAAGAACCTCAACCCTGAAGAACTGTAACATGAAGAGCTACAGAAGATCATGGGATCCCAAAAGCCGTGTACCCCAGAAGCTGACTTGCCAACCAACAGAGCTGGCTGAACCAGGAGAGCTGCTGGGAGAAGGCAATTTAGAAACTGAGACATTCGGGGGGCTAGGCTTGCCAGCCCACTGAACGAGCAACACTCTCAGAGCTTGGCTTGCCAGCTCATTAGAGCTGACTCTTCTGGGGCTGGGCTTACCAGACCCTCCAGACTCTTACCCTCTCTGGGGCTTGGCTGACTGACCCATTGAGCTGACACTCTGGAAGCCCAGGCTGACCTGAAAAATCAGCATCACTAAGGGTAAGTGAGTCACCTGGTAAAGCATAGCTGATTTGTTTAGAGCTGAGACAAATCCCTCAGTCCCTGAATTCTAGTACTTCAAGATTCTTTTCTGATGTTTATCTACTTGTTTAGATGTAACATATTCCACTATCTAAATGCAAATAATGTATTATTGAATCTCTGAATTCTAGAGAATATTTTAGGGTTAAGAGTGTAAACTGTAGAGACAGATGGTATAAATTAAATCCTAACTATTGTCTCCTAATTTTATGACTCTGATAAGTCACTTAATCTCCGTAAATTTATATTTCTTCCATAGAAGAAAATAGGATTCCTAATTATCATATCTACCACAAAATCCATCATGGAGCTTAAATAAGGTAATCTCTCTAGAGGACTTGTACCCAACATGTGCTGATCATGAAGTAAATATTACTGATTATTATTTTCATCACAATCTCAAATTTTGCTATTCATTATGACTTTGTTCTCTTTATCACTTTTTTGTTTCTAATTTTAGACACTTTATCCCATGTATAATGCTCTCTGATAGATATCTGACCTATTCTAGAAATCGGCATATACTCCAGTCAGATGAACACTTTTTATGTGGAGCAAGAGGAAGTGTCTAGTTGTCTTCCTTTGAAAATTATAATTTGATATAAGTTGTTTTATACATATTAAGAAGAGCCATATTGAGTCTATTTTATTCAAAATGTGCTTGTTAACTCGTCTTTTAGTAAAAGAGGTATCACTTGCATATATTAGACCTAAAGTAAAACCACAGGTTGTATTGCACTACATCCTATTCTAAAGCATCCTGATATATATGTATAATAAATTGTATATCTTTGGAATTCCTTGATTAAACATGAATATGATTTGATATTTAATTTAGTTATTTTTTCCCAAATTTTCACAGCCTTCTTTAATTAGTTGTTATTTGCTTATATGTTATGCCACTTTAAAACTTGTGAGAATATCTAAGTATTTTTCTGAAATTTATATTCCGACAAGTTAGTTAAAGGAAAAAAGAAAAAAAAAAACACTTGTCATTGTCAGGTACTGTGGTAGATGCTGGAGATAAAAATGAAGAGAAAATAATTTCTCAAAATGATTACAGACCTCATAGTTTATGTGTATTGTGTTAGAGAATAAATGCTTATATATCTAGGATGTTTAAAAGACACAAAATAAGGAAAGAGATAATTAATAATAATAATAATCTAAGTGGTTTTAAATTCTGAGTTTTCTAATTGGTAAAGTTTACCTGACTTACCAGAATATTCATATTTTTTTGCAGATGATACTCAAGAAAGAAAATCAACCTAGAGAAGTAACATGATTAACAGTTTGGGTTCTGCAGTCAGACAAGTCAGGGTGCAATTAATCTTTATTCACCACTTAGTGTGGACAAACTAGGCAAATTACCTAACTTATTCAAAACTCAGCATCCACATAATTAGACTACACAATAGTTGCTATGTGGGTTAAATTAAAAGCTATAATGAATGCAAAGTTTTTAGCACAATATCTGACATATAGTAGGCACTCAGTAAATTTTAATTATAATTTTATAGATATGAAATGCTGACATAGGTATTAATCACGAATTAAAACATAGTATTTATTTTCTATCTTGATTGTTGTGCTTTTGAGTACTCCTCTAACTCCAAATAAAAAAAGATCAGTATAGAAATAGGAATCTTTTAAGCGGCCTCCCCCAAAACATCATACATTCTTGACAAATACTTAATTTTCATGATTGGCATAAATCCATGGAAATCATCATAAGCAGCTGGATAGCACATGAAAAAAATAGGTGACCTTTTGAACTTACATTCTCAATATTCCTACTTACAAAATATTCTCTTGTTTCTTAGAATAAAGTCAATGAATGTATTGTTTTTTTAATGTGGTTGTTAATTTTATAAAATATTTTCCAAATTCCCTTACAGTAAATAACAAAAAGGAGCTCTGTCTATTTGTGTAAGTTTGAAGTCAGATAGGGTTTCTTGCCAGTGACACAAAATAGAATGCTATTATGTTTAACAACATGCAGCCCATTATTCAAGAAGGGATATAAATGGATCAGAAATCCTGCTGGATTGAAAATGCTGAATATCATCTTCTATCATAATGACTGCTCAAAATCTGATTTATAACATTACCTCAGCCTAAAAATGACGAACCTGCTCAAGGGTCAATTAAGTAATGGGTCATGTGAAGTCAGTGATATTCTATCTATCCAACAATTTCTTCTATAACTTTAACAAAGCAATAAAATGTTGACATCATGGGAAAAGATTTTATTATTATTTTAAAGTTATTTATATTTATTAAATTGATATGAGTTGAATTTACTAACAAGAAAAACTCATTTTCACTGTTGCCCTTGAAATATTTGAGTACTTATAGAAGCATCTAAAATTATAACTTACATTATGAGAAAATATATTTTTCTCTCAGATAACAGTGCATTCTTTGATTTAGAAACAATGAACTATTAGGACAAGAGTAAATGAAGTGGATTAAGTCAAGGGAAGAAATGGAGAGGAAACATGAACTGAGCAATGAAAGGATGTAAATGGATCAGAAATCCTGCTGGATTGAAAATGCTGAATATCATTTAAAATTATTTTGAAGATTTCTCACACTTCTGGTTTTTATTTTTATTACATTTCAAAGAAATACTTAGAAGTAATCTGTGGCTATCCAAAGCTTTTTAAATCAAAATTTCCTTAAGATTTTGTAACTATGTTCTGTAGACTATAGATCTTAGGAATAATAAATGAAGGCGCAGATACTGATTTGGACATATGGTATAGTTCAGCTTTGAATAATGTTAATACTATAATTTAAAACAGTAAGTTCTAATGATCTATCAGAGAAAGATCGATTGTGCATGAATAATATGTTCCCTAAGTTATAACAGAGAATTTAAATTAAAAAAATACAGTAAATTCCCCCCAAAGAGATTTTTCCAGGATTGTTAGGAACTATTGATATTTTAGTTGACTTCTTTAATGTTATGAAAGTATTAATATTAAAATTATACATAAAAAGAACGATCTAAAATTCAGATCAAAATCTCCACATTAAGAAGCTAGAAATAAAACAGAAAATGAATTTTAAAGTAGGCATAATAAAGAAAATAATATTTGTCATTTTGTTTTATTATTATTGTTTTTTGAGTCAGGATCCCACTCTGATGCCCAGGCTAGAGTGCAGTTACATGATCCTGGCTCACTGTAACCTTGGCCTCCTCGGCTCAGTTCCTCCTGCCTCAGCCTTCTGAGTAAATGGGACTGCAGGTACACACCACCATGCCCAGCT